GAAATTAATCGAAGGCCTGAATGTATCACTGATGACCACAAAACAGTTTTGTGTCCTATGAAGCTAGAAGTTATTTATGGTAAATCTTTATCTTTTTGTGGCCACGAGTCTTTATCTAGTAAACAAGATTGGTCAAATGAAATCCACAGCTGTAATAGCCGAGGTCTATCCAAGATGACGGTGGGTACCTTACCACCAGAACTGAGAGCTGTGCTCACTGTCTTGGTCTATGCTCCCATCCAGCCGGCTTGGAGATATGGTCAGTGCCATTGCCAGCTCCCGTACACACCAATGAATTATTAGCAGCACTTCCTAAAAGCCATGTGGTATTTTGTCACTATGCTGAATCAGGAAACCTCCCTTAAAGGAACCCACAAATTTCTGCTTGTCTCTAGCAAAACAGAGTCCAACTGAGAAAAATGCTGTTATCAAGTAGCCTTGCTTATCTTTGTTCTTTTGTTTTTAAAACCCTTTATTAAGCTTTTTTTAAGTTTTAAGTGGAAGTTCTTATTAGCCACGTTGAAGGCAGATAGTTATGGTTATAGTTTTCCTTAGTTAAGATTAAAGGTAAGTTGCATATAGGACTTCAGACTCACAAAGATAGAATAGATGATAAATATTTCCTTTAAATCTTGCTAAATATTAATGGACTAAATATTACTAACTGTGTTCTTATTTGATAAATATTTTGTTATATATTTTACTATGTTAAGGTTAAAACCCTTCTTTTTATTTCAGACAGAAAAGAGATGATGGGAGATGTCATTCTGTAAATATGTTTCTCTTATTGGTTAATGAATAAAGCACTGTTGGCCAATAAGAAAGCAAGGCAGGCGGGACTAGGAGACTAGGTGGAGAGAGGAAGAAGTAGGGAGGAGATTCAACATGGAGGACAGAAAGAGAGCAGAATGCCAGGTCCTCTCTCTGGTAAGATAAGACCACATGGAAATACTTAGATTAATAAAAATGGGTTAATATTTAAGACAGAGCTAGCCAATAAAAAAAAAAAAAAAACTAGTAACTGGCCAAAAGCTTTATATCTAATACAGAGTCTCAGCATGTTATTTGGGAATGGCGTGGCTTGTTGATCCAGGCTGGAGGAAACATGCTCATAATCTCCTGTCTCAAAAGAAAAAAGAGGGAGAGGGAGAGAGAGAAGAGAGAGAGAGAGAGAGAGAGAGAGAGAGAGAGAGAGAGAGAGAGAACAGGACAGGAGAGGAGAGGAGAGGAGAGGAGAGGAGAGGAGAGGAGAGGAGAGGAGAGGAGAGGAGAGGAGAAGCAATGTAGAAGTTTCTTTCTGGGCTTCACAAACTTGGAACTGAGATATACATGGTGGGGTATAATTCACAGACTCATGTCTTCCTTTGTGATGCGGGTCCTGAACTTGTGTGTGCTATGTGCTTGATCTTCATTCTAATGCTTTCACTTGTTACAGACCTAGCTCCTCTTTCGGTCACACTTGGTTCTTGATGGCTGAGATGCTGTCATCCTCCTGAGATGACCTGGGGTATGAGCCTGAGACAGGCTAATAATACAGCTAGCAGGTACCTACTACCTCTTCTACAAATGAAGAAAGCAACAACAGCATCAGATATGTAGAATCAGAAGAAGTCACAAGGAAAGACTTTCTGAACATAAACACAGGCACTAAGATCAATAATTAATAGATGAAATCCCATGAAACTGAAAAGCTTCTGCAAGGCAAAGGACACTTTCACTGAGGCAAAGTGGCAGCATACAAAATGTAAAAATATGTTTAACAATTTCACATCTGATAGAGGACTAATATCCAAAATATATAAAGAACTCAAGAAACTTAGTATCAAGAAAAAAGAGAAAAAAATAGTAACCCAATTAATCTAAACAGAGGCTACTCAATAGAGGAAACTCAGATGGCTGAGAAACACTTAAAGAAATGTTCAACATCCTCAGCCATCAGAGAAATGCAAATCAAAATGACTTATACTTGTTAGAATGGCTAAGATCAATAACACAAGAAGTAGCTCATTGAAATGAGGATGTGGAGCACAGGAAACACTCCTCCATTGCTGAAAGGAGTACAGCCACTATGGAAATTAGTATGATGGTTCCTCAGAAAATGAGAATCAATCTGCCTCAAGACCCAGCTATATTACTCTTGGGCATATACCAAAAGGATGCTTCATCCTACCATACTGCTCAACTATGTTCATTGCTATTCTATTCATAACAGCAAGACAATTTAAACCTAGCTGTCCATCAACAGAAGAATGGATTAAAAACATCTGGTACATTTACACAATGGAGTATTACTCAGCTGTTTAAAAAAAAATAACATCATGAAAATTTCTGGCAAATAAATGGAACTAGAAAAAGTCATTCTGAGTGAGGTAACCCAGATTCAGAAAGATAAATATGGTATGCATTTGCTTACATCTCTGGATATTAGCCATTAAGTAAATCATACCCAAGCTACAATTTGTAGGCTTGGAGAGGTTAGACATGGGGGAAAAGACAAGAAAGGACCCATGATTCTCCTTGTGAGGGGGAATAGAATAAACTTTATGTATAGACTGAAGGCAGGGTAGGAGTGGGAAGGGGGAAAAGGTACTGGAGGATCCAGTGAGAAGGGAGGGAAATGGAAATGAAGGGAGAAACAGCTAGGACTGAGGAACATTTGAGGGGCAGCATGGAACTCTAGCACAGTGGAAATGCCCTATAATACACAAAGGTGGTTCTATGATGTCTCCAAATATTGAGGGAGTCAGAACTCCTACTGATCATCTCTTGACACCAAAATGAACTTTCCAGTGCTAGAAGTAGGCTTATCCAATTGATTTGTTGGCCAAAGGGGTCCTATGAAAATTCCTAAACAACCCAGGTATTGCCAATACAATAGGTTGCTCTCCATAAACTGACAGCAAGACCCCATTGCTGAAGACACCTACACAACTCACAGAACATTGTCTACTGCCCTATGAACATGCTGAGGGACAAAATAGATTTTCTTTTTCTACTGCTGATCATCAGAAGAGTCACTATCTCACTAAAAGCTACAGCTTGTTTTAAGGTGTATGAAAAAAAAAAAAAAAAAAAAAAAACATTTTCTGGGGAAACATAACACACACATCTACTTGCCCCAGATAGGGAACCCACAACAGACCTAAACATGGATGCCACCAAAGTCCAACTTGGTGAATCAATGATTTTATTGGGGTTACAAACAGGAGCAGAAATGGCTCAAAGGCAGTTCCGTCACCAAAGCATGGCTCACTGCTCACAAAGCTGGGAACCTGGAGCACACTGCACAGGCTGCAGGCAGCAAGTGCCCTTTCCAGGTGCCTCAGTTGGTCTAAACCTCTCCCAGGCAGATCAGCAGGTTTTTGCTTCTTCCAGGTAGCTAGCCTGATCTAAGAAACTTCTTGGCAGCTTGAGTTTACTTCCTTTTAATTACACCAGGAGGGACTTTCTACTTCTATTATGTGCTCTGGCAGGAGGAGGCCTAGTGCATATGGTCAGTTTCAGAAACTCTGTGATGGTAATTCAGTGGCTTACCTTCCTGCTTGTGAGGCTTGTGAGGGAGATGGGAGATTGTTTGCAGGACTTCCTTGCCGTGTTTTGTTTGGTTGTTTTACCAGAATCTGTCTGTATTAATTACCTTTGTGATGAGGGCCCTGCTTCTCCTTCAACAGTAAAGAAAGTGTGTGACTGGGGCTCAGTGTGTTTTGGCTTCTTTTGGGGTGTTGCCTGGCTTTGGTGCCACACTTATGGTGTATCCAATCACTACCTGAGAATTTTCAAAACTCCTCCTGTTTTCAGAAGAGTCTTTTTTTTTTTTTTTTTTTTTTGTTCTGACAGTTGCCCTTCACCAGATCACACCAGCAACTTGTAGTCTTCCATTTTACCCAGAATTTCTATCCTTCCTTCAGAAGTATTTTACATGATTCTTAAGTCAGCTATTATAGTTCTAGATGATTTAACAGAAACATATAACATGATATGGATGTCCCATGATTCTTTTAGTCCATTCAGTAAACTGTATGAAACAGTTCGCTTTATTAATACTATTAAAAATATTTAAACATAGCCAGGTATTGGTGGCACATGCCTTTAACCCTAGCACTTGGAGGCAGATGGATCTGTGGTAGTGGGCCAGTCTAGTCCATAGAGTGAGTTCTAGGACAGCCAGAGCTACACAGAGAAACCCTGACTGGAAAAACAAAACAAAAAAAAAAAAAAAAAAAAGGTATTTGAACAGAGGGATGATACTTGAGCCTATTTTCTCATGACTATCACCTGTCTAAAAATGGCAAAGTAGGATACTCACTCCCTGCAACAAAATTCATGCAAAACAAATGACTTTTTCAAAATCAGAACTAATGAATTTTGTATGTGTTAATACACACATTTGAGGATAGCTTTATAAATATGTTGCTGTGTATTTCCTCACGGTGGAGTTATTTCTCTCTTACCCTTCAGAGGTGGATCTTGTGGCTGAGTGGCTCATGCTAGGACACCACATTTATGATTAGATAGATCATAAAGAAATACTGTGACCTCCAGCTTGGACTTTCTAGTGCATTTATATTTATTCTCTCTCTCCCCCTCCCTCTCTCTCTCTCTTTTATCTCTCTCCCTCCCTTCCTCCCTCCCTACCTCCCTCCTTTCCTTCCTCTCTCCTTCCTTTCTCCCTTTCTCCCACCCAGGGGAAGCCCCTGTGCTTCTATAACACACAGGCAGCCCCTTGCAGAAGCACCTTAGGCATGTCAACAGTCACACGAGTGACCACTGAAAGCAGTTAGTCCCCAGATAGGCCCTAAGATGATAATCTGGTCTCTCCAGACAGACCAGAGTCTAGAACTAAGCAGATGAGACAAAGGGGGCTTCCTCATGCCCAGAAACCAAGATATGTTTTGAGTAGTTTGTTACCTGACAAAAAGAAATATCAGATACAGAACTGAGGAAAGGTTATTTGGTAGTAATAATTGATTATATAAATTTGATATAATAATATATTTTACCTTCTTCCTTTGAAATCAGTCAGACCAAATCCATAAAATAGAGGAACTCCTAAGTAATCAAGTTTTCTCTGTTCTATCCACTTTTTAACTGCAAAGAAAAATTAACAAGAAACATGATTTTAAAAGGTACTTTACATTTGTATAGATGCTAAGACTTAATTATCTAACTAAAATAGCAATTAGACCTAAGAACATAAAAACTTAATAAACATAGATATACCTATCTCATGGTTTCAGTTTTGTTCCCATTATAATTAACACAAAGTACTTAAAAAACAAAATTAATAGTACCATAACAGAAATATTTTTACAAAGTTCACTGTTATCACTCATAAATATTTCCATTCATGAAAACAAATCATTTTGCCAGGCATGGTGGTACACTCCTGTAATCCCAGCTCTCGAGAGGCAGAGGCAGGCAGATTCCTGTGAGTTCCAGGCCAGCCTGGTCTACAGAGCTAGTTCCAGGACAGGCTCCAAAGCAATACAGAGAAACCCTATCTCAAAAAACAAAACAAAAAAAAAAAAAGCATTGTGTCATATGCTAGCTAAATCTCTAAATGTAACACACTGACTACAAAGGAGAGGCACTTCCTGACATTACTGCCTTTGTCAAAGTCTAAAATTCAAATGGAGCAGAAACAGTATCTGACTCTGAAATTTAAAGTTATTTACTCTGTAAAATAACTGTTTTAAGTAAATTTAGTTTTAAAAAAAATCATAATTGAATTGTTTACTCAAGTTAAACAATCAGGTAGTTTAATCACTGTTTTCACTTCTCTGCACGTGTGTGTTATGCTTAAGACAGCTTTCCTGATAAAACAATCACATTTAATGGATTCTATTTGTCACTCTGACATAGTTGAAGCAGTTAGTAAAGACTATAGTCATAGTGTTTAGAAGCTTTATTAAAGAAAGCAAAGTTAATTATTTGGGCCAGATCCATCATTCTTTCTCCTAAACAAGATATAAAGGACCTTGACCATTCTAGTTATTATGACTCCTACGGACATCCACAATGTTTCACTTAGCTCTTAGAAACATCTTCACTGTTCTTCATCTTTGCTTATAATTATTCATATTCAAATCTCCAGCTGCAATTCTTATTTGATATCCAGCCCCAAACAATTTTCTAACATTCACCTTTCTAATATTTCCTTAAAGATCTCACATTTAATCATCTCCAAATACTTTTTAGTTCACCTAACAACTCTTCCCTTTGTGCTTGTGTGCATGTGTGCATGCGTGCATGTGTGCGTGTGTGCCTGTGTGCGTGCGTGCGTGTGTGTGTATTCTACCTACTTTAGTTGCATGCATGTGTGCGTGTGTGCATACCTGTGTGTATTCTACCTACTTTAGTTGCATGCATGTGTGCCTGTGTGCGTGCGTGCGTGCCTGTGTGTGTATTCTACCTACTTTAGTTTTATCACTGTATGCTTTCTATCTAAATGCGTCTTTAAAAAGAAATAATTTCATTCTATAATCTTTTATGTTTAGAGAACTCTTGATAATTCCACAAGTCAGCATGTTATGTAAAATAGTAGAAAAACTTTGACTTAAAATATATAACCCATTATGTGTGCCATATCAAGATGTGTATACCATCTGTCTTGCTTTTATGTTATAACAGTTAAGTACATCATTTTACAATAAAATTTCATATGGAAAAGAATTTTCCAGAAGGCCAGAAAAAGACCAAAATATTAACCCTCACTTTAGCAGGCCCATGCATGGGAGAGCTGCTTAGCTATTTTTACTTACTATATTCTCTTTTTGCAGCTCTCTGATAAAATTTAAGTTCTGAAAATAATGGGCCATTCTCTTGATATTCCTATGAAAGAAAAATAATAATAAATTTTAATAGGAAGAATTATCCTAAAGATAAAACAACCATATTTCAACTATGAAAATATAAGCATCCACATGCAAAAAACATAATAGTTATAGAATTATTCTTCATCAAACAAGCACCAGATTTTTACTAAAAAAAAAAAAAACACTAAATAAACTTGAAAAGTCTCATTTTAGACAACATATTGTACTGCTATCCCAATATAGTCTTACACATGAAAGAAGTCTTGGGCAAAGATCTTCTCAAAAGCACTGTGAACTGTATATATAAATAAGCACTGGCTATACCACAACATGTCTTCAGGGCAAGCATACTGGAAAGTACTGTGGGGTCCCCTCACACATGACCCCTTCACTAAAAGTCTACTACATGTTATTCATTGTGCTATGCCCAGGGAACATAGACAGAAGTGGAATCCTAAGCCTTTCCTTAAGGTCCTTACTACCTAAAAGAGTGAAGGAAAGAACGTATTTTTTTTTTTATGAGAATAAAGCAGAATGGGGAAAAATTACAAAATATAGGACTATAAATGTAAGAACAACACTTACCACTTTTATTACATGTCTTGCATCTTTGTTTGGTTTATTTGTGGAGAAAGCTAAAGAAAAAAAAAAGACAAGTGGAAAATGACACTTATTCCAAATCACAGGAGATCTTAGATATAAGTACATGAACTAGATTATCCCCAAAGCCTCTTATAACTGTGGCACCATCTCCACTTTACAAAAGGTGCTGCTAAAGTTGGGGAAATGGAATAAATTTCTCAGTAAGAACAAGAGATTGAGGCCTGAAACTCATATCTGTCTGACACAGACCACACTATTTATCATATTCTATGTTCAAGCATTCAGATATAAGAAATAAACAGCACCACTGGACCTAAGAATATACTATAATCCTTTGAAACCAGCATGTATGGGAGAAATTCTAAACCAGATTCTAAGCCAGAGTCAGCTTGTATGGTCTCTGTTATGAGCACTAAAACAACTGAAGCTGACCTGTCTCCCCAGAAAGAACTGGTCCAAGTGGAAAAAAAGTGGGTGATACATACACACTGTTCCAGTTACATTACAATGGCTAAGAAGTTAGTTGAAAAAATGAATATCTGCTTTTAATTATAAGCCATGCCTATTCTCGATATTAAAATGAAATAAAAAAATTCCATAGCATCTACTTTTGTTGTCTGATGAAAAAAAATCAGATATTCATCAATTACTTACATAAGTGCAAAATTGAAACAAAGAACAAATAATATTGGTAGAAATTGTATTTAGCACCTCTCTGAATGCATTTGAGAATGAATGACATCTTGCAGATGTTGTCCAGCATGTAGCAGCTAAACATAACTGTAGTGCTTGTGCATGAACTCATTCCTACAAGTTCTTTTTTCAGCTATTGACCTTGAATATTAATGACAGTTTTGCACAAGAAATTTGTCATTGAATTGGTATTAACAAAAATTGAATTGGCATTAACTAAAATTATTACACATGTAGAAAAACTGATGAGCCCAAAATAGAGTTGTAGAAGGAAAATTTGAAATTAGTTAGGGAATATGTTATCACAACATGACTGTGAAAACTGAATACTGTATGAACTGTCTAAATGACTATTTTTAAAATAATTTGTCAAACTTTAATGGGAAACATTGAATATTAAATCTATAGCAGGCCCCACAAAAGAGACTCAAGAGGAAAATAATGATTCTGAACTATGTGAGCATCTAACGTGAGTTCAACATGCACACATGAAATAACAATGTATATTATTTGATATAATTTCAAGCATCTTCACGAATTTAAATAGACTAAGTTCATCAGCAGAAATAAGAAAATGTCATGCTGTTAAAACTCAGATTAATCCATACTATTGATAAAATACAAACTTAAGCTTGATGATGGCAAGTTGCTATGTTAAACAGAAGATAGAAAATAAATTAATACAACAAAATTAACTGAAAGAATGAAGCTAGAATATGGAGTTTCAAAACTGAAGAAATTGAGGGAAGAATTATTAGATAAAAAGACAGACATGAAAGAAACTGTGCAATGAAGATAATATAACTTAGTATATAGCAATAGTTTTAAAACATATAAATCAACAACTAGTAGAGCTATTGATTAAAAACTAATAACAAAACAAAATTGGAAAATATTAATGGCATTTAGTATTGTATAGTCAAACAGAAAAGATCCAAACTGCAGAGTAAAGAACACACACTCTCTTCAAGAATGTGTAAAATATTATTTTTAAACTGTCTAAATTTGAATCTGGAAAATAACTCCCTTCTTCAATTCCTTTTTCTTTATTTAAAATAAAATTGTTCATGTAGTATTTTCTTCCTGAAACTCCACCTTATAGCTTTACCACCCCCATGCCCACCTAATATTATGAATACCCTCTCACAAACAAAAACACAAGAAAATGAAAAATCAATAAAACAAAAAATACCCAAAAGAACAAAACAAAGGGCACATATACAAAACCACAGAGTCTATTTTCTGTTAGTTTACTAGTCTCGAACATGAAGCCTGACCAGGAGTAGAAGTGATATACTGTGACACTGAATTAGAGAAAACAAATTTTCACTGTCCCAACAGTTATCAGTTATAAATAGCTGCTTGGTTAAGGTGAAATTTGCATTCAGTTCCTCTTTCCCATGCTGCCCAATGAACATGGGAAAATCAAACATGTGCACAGTTAGATGATCTACCAATACTAACTAGTATTATGGTGCTGAAAGGTGTTCTGCACACTTCCAAGGGAGAAAAGCAATCATCACTATCACACAACTATAAACTTTGTCCTTCAACAGTGACCTGCATGCAAAATATACTGGCACAACAGTGATATAAATGTTATGGGAATCCACCTTTTGTTAGGATTGAGGTACCTAAGCTATAAAATACATGATAGTAATAAATTTTAACCCAAATAAAAATATCCATTTACCATAGTGATATAAATAAATGAATAAACAAATAAGGAAGATAAGGCAGTTCTCTGTTTTGAGTGAAATTCATTTAATACATGTAGAAGAAATCATAAAAATACAAAACCAATTTTAGTAAATACCACAGTAATGACCATGGTAAACAAAAGTCATTAATGGAGGCTAAAATTAGCAGGTAAATAGATAAAAAGAACCAAGTGTCAGCATTTCCCTCTACAATATACTGGTTGTAAATGGAAACTCATAGTCCTAAGTGAGAGACCTGAAAGAAGCCAACAGGTGGCTATCAGATCAACCTGGGAAGAAATACAGTAAAAGAACAGTTGCATGGCCAGTTGATTCTTCTGTCTGAAGCACAGAAATAGAGAATTAATAGAACAATTTTCTTGCAAGATGAAGAAGGGACAGGTCCATGTGGTGGTGTTGATCTTATTCTTGTAGCAAAAGAACAGATGTCTCAATAGTGCACCTTGGCAGTGCAAGAGATTACAATATATAACTTTCACACCGAGTTTTTCAACAGGGCTAGAAGCTCTGGAGAGCAGCCAAAGGGAGTGTGAAGGGGGGGGGGGAGTACTCTGTGCATTATTCTGGTGCCTTTCCTTTGGGAAACCTTATAGTTTAACAGTAGTTATTTTTTTGAACCAAATTAAGACATTTTTATCCTTCCTGTACAAGCACAAACCATGCAGAGAAGAGGACAGGAGATGGGGAGACCATAGAAGTCTGGGCAGCCTGGTGTTCTCTAGGAGAGGAAGAACTCACCCAGTGAGACTGAGGTATGAGACAGAATGCTTCTGACAGGGCTTTTCACTCATTCAAGATGAAAGGAAGTTCGAAAGACCAGAAATAACACAAGGACTGTGTGCAGCAACTGAGAGTCAATGAACTGATAGAGTATTCCAGGCTTGACCTACCTCCTGTTTGTTCCCTAAATTCCTAAGTGTGCTGAAACTAAGATTTCTTAACCTACAAACTAAACCCTTAGCAATATTAAAACACAAGGACTAATGTACTAAGTCCATAAATGACAAAGAAAGACAGAAGAATCACGGACATGGTGCATGTGTGTGTGACCCCAGACAATCAAAAATGATAGCTGAAGTGGGGAACCCCTTGAACTCTAAAGTCTGAGAGCACAACTGCAAGACATAGTCTCCACATAAAGACCAAAGAGTTTACTCAGTGTTACAAAATTAATTGTTTCAGTATCATCCAGGATTTAAGATTTTAAAAAAGTGTGGGGGGGGGGCACTAGGACAACCAGCAAAGTGTAAGAGCTACAAATAAGTTAAACTGTATCAGAGTTGATGAGCAGGGTAGTGGGGTTTCTAAGACTTAGGCAAACTGAATGACTGGTGCGGATTAGGACACAGGCACTCTCTTCCTACAAGCTTTGAACTTATAAAGTGAAACTTTAAAAGTAAGAAACTGAAACAAATAATAAAAGAATTAAAATTGTTCTTTTTATAAGGTTTCTGTTTTTATTTTGTTGTTGTTGTTGTTTTCAAGAAAGGATTTCTCTGTGTAACACCTCTGCCTGTCCTGGAACTTACTTCATTAAAAAAAAAAATTCTTTAAAATTTAAAATAAAAAGTGATAATATCCCAGTACACTATGGGAAAATGCATTGCTGTGATTGGTGTAATAAAAAGCTGAATGGCCAATAGCTGGGCAAGAGTTATAGGTGGGACTTCAGGGCAGAGAAAGAACTCTAGGAATAAGAAAGGCAGATCTCCAGCCAGAAGTGGAGGAAGTGGCATGAGCAGTAAAGAGAGATGAGGTCATAAACCATGTGCCAGAATATAAATTTAAAAACATGGGTTAATTTAAGTTGGAAGAACTACTAGTTAGGAACAAGCCTAAGCTAAGGCCAAGCTCTCATAATTAATATATGCCTTTATGTCAGTATTTGTGAGATGGCAGTCCCAACAAGAAAGCTCATCTTCAATAATTCTCTTGGTAAAGTTATTCAAAGGAGAAAAGAAAAACAAGATATCTGGAAGAGATTTAGCAAAAAAAGATATATAATAAACACCAAGAAATGTTGAAATGGAAAATGAGAGTCACACACAAATCATTTTCCAAATAACTTCAGAGGATAAAGTTTATAAATATAGAAGTTAATAATTAAAAAGATTAACCAGATGGAGGGGGGCATTCAACTCTTATCCCTGTCCCTGAAAGGGGCTATAGAACTTATGCAGAAAAAAAGCAGGGGAGGCACTTAAGATGCCACTACAGCTTCCTCTCCAACCTAATTTAAGATCTCAGAAGAAAAGTCATGAGCAGTCTGAGAAGTTCACTCCACAGCTCTTAGAAAGGAAAGAGAAGTTGAGGTTACAAGGCAAGTCACTGCAAAAAAAAAAAAAAGCAGAAAAACAAGAGAACACAGAATCATTCTGTATTGACACAGGGTTTTTCTCCAGGAACCATATTAATTTCTCACATTGAAGAACCAAGAAAAATATCCTGATTCCACCATGGAAAATTCTTGAAACAAAGCCTTTTTCAAATAAGTTGGGTAGAGGGAGTTGATAGTCACTAATGAAGGATAAATCCCAGAGGTACAGACACAATATAAACAACAGTACTGGCCAGCTAATTTAAGTGGTGTACAGCACACAGGTCAGTCAAAGATGGCT